ATCGCTTCTAGTAACAAGTGCCTTACTAGTAGGAACAAGAAGCTACTAGGAACAAGTGCATCGCTACTAGTAACAAGTGCCTCACTAGTAGGAACAAGAAGCTACTAGGAACAAGTGCATCGCTACTAGTAACAAGTGCCTTACTAGTAGTAACAAGGTTCGCTACTAGTAGCTAGAAGCTTGTAGGAACAAAAGAATACTCCTTAGTGTGCTTGGCTAGCTTCGGCCTTGCTGGCCCTCACTGAAAGCATTAAGTCTTGGCCGGTTGAGGCTTTCCAGACACATGCCAGGAATGCTTTCGGTCTAGAAGTATAACCTAAAAGGGATGGCCTCCACCCTAATGTCTAGCGATGGCCTCCAGGAAAGTCTTCTGTCTAAAAGTATTGACTAGGAAGATGTAAGCCCTGCAAGAACATGTTCTGCTGTGAGCGTTTATCGTTTCTAATCACACTCATATAATTCAATTTAAATTCTATAGCTTCTTATTGTTTCCTAGTAGCGAACCTTTAGTAGTAAGGCCCTTGTTCCTAGTAGGGATGCCCTTTACTCCTAGTAGCGAACCTTGTTACTGCACTTCGCTGAGGGCGAGTGAGATTTGCGATGTGCTTCAAGCCTTGCAGTACACCTCCTTGGAGCCCACAGGTGATTTGTTGGATCCTGAGGGGGGGGAGTGTTTTCTGCGATGTCGCAAGAAAGCACGTGTTCGCTTTGGAAGCAAACTGTCAAATAGTTCCGTCCATTCCTTAAGGCGAACCCAACAATTTGGCCTTGTGAAGAGTGCGACAAGAATTTGTCCGAAGCCTGAGGTCGAGAGCTCAAAAGGTCCGACGAAATGGCTATGGCGAGATTGCAGGCACCTTGTGGGTGTCACTTGTTAGTCCGACGAGACACCAACTAGCTTCTTGTTACTACTAGTAAGGCACTTGTTACTAGAAGCGATGCACTTGTTCCTAGTAGCGATGCACTTGTTACTACTAGTAAGGCATTTGCTTCAATGTGTGCACCATTTTAGCCCGGCTTCGATCGGTTTTGTTCGATTCCAGACCTGGAAGAGTTGCACCACGCGCTGCGGCTGGAACTCGACAAGGCGCCTTCGTGGCGGCAGAGTGCAGTACAAGTAGTAGCGATGCCAGGAGCCCCTAGTAGCTTCTTGTTACTAGTAGCGAGGCCCTTGTTACTAGTAGCTATTTGCTACTAGTAGTAAGGCCAGGAGGCCCTTATAGCGTCCTCGCCCCTAATAGCGATGCCAGGAGCCCTTAGTACGTCCTTTTAGGTCTTCATTAAGTCGTCGTTGACAGGCCCTCACCAGCCAAGTGTCGCCTTCATTTGCGCGACTTGGAAGAAAAGGTAAATCGGCAGAGAAATGTCAAAAAAGAAGCTCGCATCAATCAATTTCAACTTGCGGTTGCAGCGGTTGCAAATGTCTAAGGAACGCCTGGGGAGCTTCAGATCATGACCAAAGCCACTTTGAATTTATGTTCAGAGTGCAAATGATGTGCAAAAAGTGCATAGTTCTCCCCGAACCATCATCAGGACATGCATGGGGTCAAATATGGATGACTGACTTGCACTGTTGTGCCTCATGCTGCCACGATTTCCCTTTCTCAAACCAAAGCTTTCAAAAAAATGGAAGAACTTTGCTATGAGCCAAAAGGCTTTGAACGCAATTGTGCCTCGTGTGTGCACGGTGCTTTTGGGAGAAATGCAATTCCATGATTCAACCGTGGAGAAAGTTTATATTTTTTGGAACATGTCTATCTTGTTTGTTGAAATGAGCAGAAGTTATGACTTTTGACACTCCCGAAAGCCCTGGCACCTTCGCGTTGGGTCTTGAACATCTGAGGCGACTTGGAGCCCAGCAATGTGATCAGCCTGGATCTCGGAGGATTTCGAGGAAACCGTGGCTTTGGTGAAGCTACTAGCAGCAAAGGGCATCGCTACTAGGAGCAAGTGCCTTACTAGTAGTAACAATAAGCATTTAATTAGAATTGTAATTACTAGCTTCTTGTTACTACCAGTAAGGCACTTGTTACTACTAGCGGTGCACTTGTAGGAGCAAGGACGCTACTAGAAGCAAAGGGCATCGCTACTAGGAGCAAAGGGCATCGCTACTAGGAGCAAAGGGCATCGCTACTAGGAGCAAAGGGCATCGCTAGTAGGAGCAAAGGGCATCGCTACTAGGAGCAAAGGGTATCGCTACTAGGAGCAAGAAGCTACTAGGGGCTCCTGGCCTTACTACTAGGAACAAGGACGCTACTAGGAACAAAGTGCACCCGCTTCACCGGACTTTGATTCAGGCGACGAGTACATCAATCACATCTTCACCTTGGGCCGTCTATTTGAATTGGTGCCCTAGCTTTACGTGATGGGTTCAACAAGAAGCTATACTAGGTTGGAGGCCATCGCTAGTAGGTTGGAGGCCATGCCAGGATGTGTCAAGTGCGGTTCCTTTTTCTGCTCTTTTGCCTAACCAGATATTCAATGGTCTTTGAGAGGCACTCATGACCAACTGGATGTGACATGAAGACGTTGGCCCCTTCTTGGCCCCTCTTCTTCACAACTCCTTGTTTTCATACGCTCTGAATATCCCCTTACTACTAGGAACAAGAAGCTACAAGGGGCTCCTGGCCTTACTACTAGGAGAAAGGACGCTACTAGGGACTCCTGGCCATACTACTAGTAACAAGAAGCTATGTGATAACATCCCGGTGATGTACTTCTTTTCACATTTTTTCACTAAGTCTGCCGGCGCTGGACGGAACAAAGCACCTTGGATGCGCTGGTGAGGTCAGGGAGCGCGCAGGGAGCAAGTAACGGACCGGACCGGATGCATGTTCAAACTAGCGATGGCCTCCACCCTGCTAGCTCAGGCATAGAAACAAGTGCATCGCTTCTAGTAACAAGTGCCTTACTAGTAGTAACAAGGTTCGCTACTAGGAACAAGTGCCACGCTACTAGTAACAGGTGCCTTACAAGTGCCACGCGATGGTTCCAATGATGTTGATCACCGAAAGCGGCTCACCAAGTAGGATTATCGTTTCTCTATTACTCATCGGCAGAGAATACCCAGGGCACTTGAGCGACGAAACAAGAGTTGCAAGCAGCACAAGTATCTGGACAAGACATTGCTCCTCAGAACGCCTTTGCAAGCCAGCTACCTGAAGAAAGCATAGATTAGATCACATTTGCCTTGTGACTAGTAGCGTCCTCTTGTTCCTAGTAGTAAGGCCCGGAGCTACTAGTAGCCTCCTTTGCTCCTAGGAGCGATGCCCTGTCTCCATAGAAATCGCTTCGCTTCACGCTTGGCGCCTGGCCTTCGAGGTTTGGGGTCGTCAAGGTGGCAAGGTGATGGTCTTGGCGCCCAACATCCCTGCGGCCTTGTGCGTGATCCGAGGCGGGAGGGAAAGGAAATGGTAGCATGCACTAACGCGATGCACTTGTTCCTAGTAGCTTCTGTTTGTAGCTAATTACAATT